CCCGCTCCTCAACGGTGCCAGTCCACCTTCTCCAAGCCGCAGGGAGCTACTATGGATCCAACCATGGGAATACCAGCCTGATGCGGTATCACACAACCGCCATGTCATCTCTCTGCCTCCAACAGAGCTTGCGCGGTATTCGCGGTCTACACTACGGAGCACTTATCCGATCCTCCAGGGATAGACATGTCCCTTCTCCGAGGACTCCCGCGCCTTCCACGTAATCGCGAATGAAATCGCGCTTCCTCGTCCGATAGCCGCCTGATGTCTGGCTGACTGATACGTGGGGGACATGCCTCCGAGATGGCTATATAAACCCAGACCAGCTCTGGTCGAAAAGGAGATTTCTTCTTCATCCGACTCATCAGCTTCAAACATAAGACTCACAACAAACAAACATTCAAGCCTTTTCGCTTCCACCACCAAACTATCAAAATGGCCCCCTGGTGAGTGAACCGCCTGCTCTGTCTTCCACGCACGGGAGATACAAAATTGCGCATGAGTCTCTTTCTGGATGATTGGGATTCTCTTTGAGTTTCGACCTATCCCACCGGAGGAGCTATGCCTTTGAGATCTCCAACGTCGAAGCTAACCTGATGTGAATAGCACCTGCTCCTCCTGCGGCTCCAGCTGCGCTGGCTCCTGCACTGCCTGCTCTTGCGGCTCTTGCTCCGTAAGCCACATCTCTATGACAGCAAATCTCAAGATACACAGGCGCTGACTTTCAATCTTCATAGCACTAAACAAAGCATGACTTCTCTGCTCCCATCAAATTTGACAACCCGGAAGCGGCTCGCTCGCCAATAGCCAATATCCAACCCGAGCTGTGTGCCCTCCATTCGACAACGCGGGTGGAAGGATTGTAAGATGTTGACTTAGGGGTGGATCTTTGACTGCTGGAACCCAGTTCCATTTGCCAACAATGATTGCCGAAACGGGGAATACTCTAGTCTGTGGAGAACGGCGGGTTTCTATGTTTACGCTCGACAATTCCGGCAGTTCTTGTTGGTAGTTGGAACTGGGACTCGAGATGGAGAATTCTTCTTTCATTCTTTTTTATCTCTCGTCTCGTGGTATGATAGTTTTGTTTTGAGATGGCAATACGAACTACGAGTGTTTTGATTCCCGGGAAATATCTTACCTCTTCTGCTGGTGACCCAATCATGCGGCCTATCTTGCTTGGGTAAAGTACATATTCTGCGAAAAATGAATAGCTTTGTATCCTTGTGAGTGATTTAAAGGCATCTGATTCTTCAGGTGGGGATCTTGCTTCCCTTGGAGAGGTTGCGGGCGGCCCGCCGAATGCCTACCTAAAGCGGGACATGCATGCATGGCTTCGAGCTGATTGACGCTATTTGCTGAGACTGGAGCTTTTCGGGTCTCCAAACTTGCCAAATCAGTGAGGGGAAGAAGGTTAGGCTTTCTCCAAAGGGGGCCAGCTCCAATGAAGATGGGAGCAAGGTCGGGATGACAGCAAGCTTCGTTCGGGAGAGCTGGAGAATGTTCCTTTCCCCTCCACTTCGCTGGCACCTCTGGTGGTTTGTCCCCCACTCGGCGTCGGGGTCGGGGTTCATGCGGGCATGTGTTGGATGGTTCGCAACGGAGGAGGAGGTGCGGGGGACGAGGCGTTGGTTCGTTGGTGTGTGTAAGATACATGTGCCTAATTTATCAATGTAGGGCGTTTCAAACTGTCAGCTGACTGATTTTGACTGATTGATGCGCTGGATGGATGCGGCTTGGCACATGAGAAGATGTGGTTGCGATAGGGAGGATAAGGTGCCTAGGCGGGATGAGCACGAAGGCATGCGGCGAGAAACGGTTGGCGGAGTTGCGGCTTGTGATTGGGGATGTGAGGTATTCGAACTTGACTGGGTGTGGTTTGGCGGCGATTTGGGGGCGATTTCGTTGGGGGGAGCTATCTGAGGCGCGGCGCGCGGCGCGTGGTTACTAGGTACTTACTAAGTAGTCGGTGCCGTGATCTGCTGGTAACGGGGTTTCGGGGTTTCTCTGTGTTGGCGTTGAAACAACGAGGGGGCTTGAAAATGATGTAAGGTCTATGGGAGTGTTGGTTACCTACCTCATCGCTTTGGATGATGTGGTTGATCTGTACGATATTGGCAATTGCTGTCTCTTTTCGGGGTGCACGTCAACGAAGAAAATATATGTTCATGGGTCGGTCCTTGAGGACCATTCAACCCTTCGTGGGGGTTAAAATTGCAGTGTACAATTGCTGTGTAAAGGTTGCTATGATTGCAGTGAAACGATTGGAGCGCCGATGTGGTTGTGGCACTGGGCTAAACGCTGCAACTACCCCCCCGTCAGCTTCGAAGATGATTCTGACGACGAAACTAAACATGATATTGAGATTCTATGCATTCACCTGTCTAACAAAGTACCTCGCAAAGGTCTGATCTAGGCACCACATACCAAAGTTCTATTATCGGCAATACTAAGTACAACGAGAGCCGAGTTAGTAACGGCAATATTAGTGAACCTTGATGGCTCGGTTGTGCGATCTTCTCTAGCCCCTGACAGCCGGGACCGTCACTCAGTTCTCTTTCTCGTCTCGAGCAGGAATGACAACTTTAGCCTGATGAATACTTTGCACTGCAGTCATCATTTTAGGGAGGTAGAAGTGTCTTTGTTTGCTACTTGCCTACGTACAAGCTGGCGAATATTCCATGTTAATGAACTGATTACTGGCAGAAACGTGATCTGCCCAGACGCCGATGCCCCCGGCCCCTCCTCGAGGACGCATCTCTTGAAGGGCTTTTATAGCTAAAGCAACGACAATCGACTCTAACATCACCCAGACAAACTCAAAAACGAGCCGCGAACATCCACTGAGTCTTTACCAATTGATTCCCCGAAAAGATAACCTACGATTCAACCACAAGCGCGTTACCCTCGACGAAAAACTTACGAACCCACCCGACATAGCACCAGCCAGCGAAGCCAAAGGTCTAAATCAACAAGACAAGATCACGAATCCGAACAAGAACTCTACATCAATTAAGCTTCAACTCTCACCGGGGAACTTCCCGCCTTTGAGCGGGGGTCTCGGTGAATTGTCAAATCTCCAGCGATCCACCCCGCTTAGAAAGCCCGCGACAAGGAATATGCCCGGATGCGGTCGGCCAGCTGGGCAGGCGGAGCAGCAGATAATCCCGGTGTTATGCGGGTGAAGTGCCGATAGGGCTAGGATGGGGCCCGACGCGGAGTTCAGAATCGTATGTTCATCTGATCCGACATCGCAAGTAGCAGTATGAGTTGGCATTGATGCAGTTGCTTGCGACATCGCAATCCCGGGTAGGATCGGTATCGCTCACTACAGAGCTCGATGCGAAGGGGAATCACGAACACATCCAAGATTTCAAGAGAAAGCGGCAGCTGTTTTAAGGATTCTAATAAGCCAAGCTCAGGCTCGACAAGTCTCCTTTCACCACGCACCAGATCACCAAGTCAAGGCAAGGCTGATTGGCGGACAGGATATGCATCTCCAACCAAATCCGTCGGAACCTGCAGCGCACACGGCAGAACGGAGGAAACACAGATGGCGACGTTCAATGAGAAGCGCCAAACGGATCAGCCAGCCCGGCGGTACGGCACGGCACGGCTCATGAGGTTGGAGGTTGCCTTGGCTCTTTCCGTTGTGGTTACATGGACTTGACACCTGCGTTGTGTCAGTGGTGCCACGGTGGGAAACGCATGAGCGCTTGGTGGGATGCCTTGCCGCGGACACTTGAAGCATGTCAGACGGTGGGTGTCGCACGGCGTCGTCCACTGTCGCCATGTATATTGTCTTTTGGAGGCGGCGTGGCGACATCAGGCTCCAAGAGTCCTTGGCAACTCGGTGGCAACTGATCCTCTAATGGCTGGTGATGTCCGCCAGAACTGCGGTTCGCGGACTGGCGGTATTGTGAATTGCGTGTGTTGATGTGGTGTCCTGCGTTGAGTGTTTGCACCATCATTTTTAGCCATCGTTCTCTGAGCAAGTTAGAAACTCCTCGTAGCTTGTGCAACAACTTGTGCAGACCACACCAGTCTTGTTCGAGTTTGTCTAAGTCCTATGTAGACGATTCCCCACAATTGTCAGGCTCATTGTCGTCGGGGTACTTTATTCTCCTTCTCTATTACGTGCAATTACGCGCAGAACATTGCGGAAGCGTCGTGCAGCTCGAGTCTCTATTCAGTAGCAGGAGAGGCGGCGTGGGCAATTGATGATCGTTGAAGAAGTTGCAATTTGACACCTTGCTCCTCACAATACCTGTACAAGTACATGCGGACTGCCACCGATGCCTTCAAGCAAGCGCCAAAATAGATCACTCTAATGGCTTTACACGGAAATTATCGGGAGTTATTCCCAGCGAGGAAGACTCCGCATCATTAATCAAAAGCCTTGGAGGCCCCCTTGACAGCTCGAGTCATTGCCGGTGGCTGCGACGGCGTCACCGAGATCACGGAGGTTCCAGCGGGGCTCTTTCGGCCGCGTTCCGGCTTATCGCCGACGAAGACCAGGCGGTTGGGTTGACCACGGGTTTATTCAGTGGAGCAAGGCGAAGATAACTAACATGTTCGTCCGATCGGGTTTCTGGGGGAGAACGGCATTGTCGACCGAAGAGGTTGTGTTAGACAATACATTGACCACCATCTCACTTGCTTCCAGGAGCGTTCAAACCTTCTTCACCGTAACGATTGCCTAAATAGGCAAGCAGACTTGATCGCTGTTAGGGCAACTATTTTGAAGGTCACGTACAATCATGTGTGGCCGAACCAAGGCCGGATGAGAGAGGAATTGAGTCCGTAACAATTACCAGTATCGCGGTAGCAACTGCTTCACGGTGAAATTGTAGCAGAAATACAATTGACTCGATAACATCGTACAGACGATGCTATTATTTAGAGTAGGCCGGTTCCTAGTGACCGATTGAGACTCGCTTCTATAATCATCGGCTCTCTTACACGAACAGAGTCCACCATACCAAGACCAGACACAAAATATGGTGCCACGATATTCGGCTTACGCCAGCCTCTTCCCCATCTTTTTACAGACATGCCTTGCGCAGGATACCAGCATTATTTCCGTCCCATATGAATCGACCTATCTTCTTCCTTCACCGTTTCACGGCAACTTGTTTCACAGCTTTGTTAATGGCACCAATACGTTGGATGCGTTAACTAACGAACTCCTTCAGTCTGCCACCAAATCACCGTTCATCTCATACGGTGACGAGCCCCTGGCACTTCTCGGCCAGAATCCAGCCATTGAGTTGATCGAGAAGCGTCCAGGCAACTTTGCGGGAGAAGCTGGCGTATGGATCAGCGATCGCAATGAACTCTGGTACACAACTTGGATCAATGATGGGCCTACCCACGTGGAAATCTTGGATTTGAATAACAACAGCATCAGAAACCTGACCTCTTCACAGTCGTTGAAAAACCCGAACGGAGGATTCTACCACCAAGGTCTCATGTACTTCACTTGCTTGCGAGACGACTCTCGAGACTGGTCTGGCGGCGTCGTATCTGTCAACCCAGAGACAGGCCACGTCGAAACTGCCCTCGACTCTTACTTTGGTCTCAAGTTTGATAACATTGACGATGTGGCCTAGGTCACGCAGCCGGGAACAAACAACTCGTACATGTTCATCACTGTCCTGCCCTTCGCCAAGGGCTCAACCACGACAGATCGCCTGCCTCAGGGTCTGTGGCGCTGGGACCCCCAGAAGAAGGTCTTGTTACCTGCCATCAGCAGGACTGAGTTCCCCGTCGCCAACGGCGTCCGACCATCGAGGGACCAAAAAACTCTTTGGGTGACCGACTTTGGCGGCGATGAGCGAAGTAGAATTTGGGGGCTACCGGCTCAAGTAGGAGCACCGGCAATCTACAAATACGATCTCAACGAAGACATGTGGCCTGTCAACAAGCGAACCTTTGGTGTCTCGAGAATGCAGGCTCCGGATGGCATCCGCATCGATGACAAGGGTAGAGTTTGGACGGGTGAGGGTGAAGGTGTTGTGGTCCGAAGTTCTCAAGGGAAGGTTATCGGTGTCTTTAATGGACAATTTTTCACGAGAGATTCTGTTAACACGGCGATTGTACAATTCGAGCTCGCCGGGGATGCTCTGGTAGTGTTGGGCTAGAATAAGTTATGGACTGTCAAGTTAGCTGAGACGGTTTACAGCGCTTAACAACCTGCATCAGCTTGTACTTTATGACAGACTACAAATTCCGAGGATAGCTTAAAGGTAAATCAATAAGACCTCAGTCACATGGGTTGCTGATTTGACATCTTTTGCTCAAGCTCTGAAACGTCACTGTTGGTAATTCAAATTACGGGTTTACCAAGATGATATATCCAGACATGCAAGAGTTTTGAACGTATCTTGGTGGTAATAATGACGGAAGAAGACATAACCTGTGTCGATGAGCTGCTTACCCTCCTCAAGGTTTATCGCCTTGGTGATGTATCGTGACATTCTGGGCATTTGAATTGCCATTACCCTGACCTGGCACGCACCATACTTACTTTGGCAAACTCGGACTCCAAGCAAGGAACTCTTGATCTATTTTGACTTTCCCTAGTCCACGAGCCTAAAGGTTTCTCAATATGTCTTCATATAACCTTATATTTAACCTTGTTCCTATCGAGTAGAAAATCTCGCAATTTTGGGCCAATTGCCACAAGGGCGCCATTTCATTGCCCACAAAGCTTCAATCCGAACGTAGCCATCCCATAGCACTTCAACCTTTGAATTAAGACGATAAATACAGAGACTATGGAACTACCCAAAATGATACCAGGACGGACACGGTAATTTCTCAGCGTGCTGTACTTCAGTATGTAACAACCCACGGGATGCGGTCATTCCCACCACAGCTAGAGACGCGCCTCCTGATACCGGTGGGATAACTCTAAAGTACGAGTTGCCTCTAGATACTGACTCGATCGATTCAAAACCGGGGACGCTTTAATTTGGGATAGATTGAAAATGTTACAAATTAATCGTTCATTCAGTCTGCGTGAGTTGATCGTGCTCGACTTGATCAAGCTATAAAGACACTCGTTAGAACCTGAGCTCAGCCAAGCCTTCAAGACTACCACCATTTTCACCAAGCCGACGCCGTCACAGTCCTTATCAATTGCATTCTTTACCACCGACCTTGCGTAAGTGAAACTACTAATCGTGACTTGTTGGTCGGCCTTTCACTAACGAGGTAGCACCCAGGATTCCAACCCACAATGCAGCTCACAGGCTTCACCGCGGCTGTCGTCGCTATCTTCTTCGCCACCAGTGCCAGTGCCACGTGCACTACATCCTGGGGTGGATCCCCTTGCTCAGGGACTCAGTTGGCGTGTTGTATGGATATCAGCTATGGCGTTATGGAGCAGAACAAAAAAGATGAGAATTGGAGATATGCTTGGACGCGAGCCAACTGCAATGACTGCAAGGCTTGAGCCTGAGGACGGGGCTTTAGATCGGGAAACTCATCTCTCTTATAAAATCAATAACCTAATTCCATCGAAAATCCATTAGACAAGAAGACTCATTAGTTGGGCTACGTCATGAGGTCTGTTAATGCATGATCCTTGATTCACGAAGAAACCAGATGCTATAGGTGATTGCCGAGGGAATCAATTTGTTCTTAAGCACTTTCAAAATTTCATACGCCGAACGCCCCTTGAGATCTCTAATAAGCTTACTGTGTCTTTGATCATTATGCTCTATCTTAAAGTATTGTGCGTACCTTCTGCAGAATCGACCTCGATCTCCTCGAGCTGAACTACAGAGGGTTAGCAACGGCACGCGCGGCAAACCCAGCCGGGGTACTGCTGGTAAGGGCCGGAAACCTCACAAACGAGAAACCTGGGCACGGAGAAAACTTTTGCCCACCGGCTTTCATTTTGTCTTCTGCCTGGCCAGTTGAAATGTCGTGAACATCCGTCACCGGGTCATAGAGCAAAGAGCTGGACGAAGCGAGGAAGTCGGAACGCCTGAATAATCTGACCACGAGCCGCCAAGCGCGAAGCGCCGAGCCTCACCAAGAAGCGCCCAGCACTGAGTGGTCCCAACATCACCCAACAATCCTCGTCAGCCAAGGACCTCCAAGAGAATCCAAGAGAACAGGGATCATATCGCAATGTCTGAGCCATAAAGTATTGACTTGGCCGACCCAAAGGTGGTCGTCACACCGGAATGCGTGCTCCGGGCTTCATCACCTTCCCAGCTGCGGCGCCCCCTTTCGTCTCCACTCAGCGGAGAATCTTGCTTCCTCCGCTTGGCGCCGAGGCCGCGCTGACACCAATATGACATCCGGACTCCTCCGCTGAGTATTGGCGGCGGAAAACCAACCTACTTGCTAAGTATTGCGTTCAATGATGGTCCTCGAAGGTGTTGTCAGCCCCGGACGCCGAGTCACTTTGTTAAGACACTAAGACTCTTGTCATACCTCGCCACTCTAGGCAGTCCACTGTTTCTTCTTGGGCGAGTTATGTATGTTACCTGGCTTCACGTCCTCCCGGCTCTTTCCGCAGCCATTAGCCCTCTCACCCGATAACTCTTACATGCATTCTTCTCTGGTCGCTCTGTTCCTATGACCGAAATACGTTCATTAGAAAAGTGTCATCGAAGTACTTTGGGGAATCGTCCATCAATCTCGATTAGCATACTTAGTCCATTTCAACTCGCTGGGTGGGGAAGTTAAGTCAGCGTCCTGGCATTACCAAAGTTGAGAGATCTATCAATTTCTCTAGAATCTACACCGTATCTGGCCTTGAGCCTGACACTTTACTACCAAGCATGTCTCACATTTTGCTATGCGCTTCATGTCTGAACGACGCTACTGAGGCTGTATTAGATCGTGTTCTTTGGCTGGCTAGGAGCCAAATCTTTAAGCGTCTAACCTGGGAGGAAGGACGCGTGAGTGTTACCTACGGATAGTCAATCCAGAAACAATCAAGCTGTCAGATACCTCCATGACAAGACTACTAGATTTGAGACATCCCCAGCCAAGTAGCAGATGATGACAAAACCCCTGAAAATCTAACGCTCTCCCCTGAAGATGAAGAGATACTGATCCGCAGGTGAAGTCTTCTATTTACGAGATTCACCAGCACTTGGCCCGTCACGCCTTCCCTGTGACCCCATTTGTGGCAGTACTTCGTAGAAGTATCAGCCGAAGCACGGATATCTCGCTGTCTTCACCTCGAGGACTTTGTACGCTCTAGCATTGAGAGCCGCTATAACCCCCTACCATGATCTACAGGGCGTACTTGGCTCTGAATCAAAAGTGTTTGTGATCAGAACCCATCCCCAAAAGAATTTGGCCGCCCAAGATCTGCAGCCAAGTCGCTCCCTTTTGGCTCGCAGCCAAGTGTGCCCCTGGCTGACATACCACTCTTAAATATCCGGACTCTCGGCGCTGCAGAAGAATTAGTTGCCCTTCCGCCGCTCACCAGACCACTCTTCATCAGCAGCGCTGAGCTACCGGGTGACTGTCATACCACACGGAATCGAGCAAGCGTCGTTGTCCATCATCATTCCAAGTTCTGGCCCTCTGACTTCATTTTTTGCGGGATTTCCTTCTGCTCGTTTAGACATTCGTTTTGGATTTCTTTATCATCCTCTCAAGGTCTCGTTAAAATATCTCTTCTTTCTTCTTTCCAAGCAACTCCATGCAAATATCGTATGAGCGTTAGCTAAAGAGATCATCCCTATCCTCAAAGCCCTTGCTGGCCAAGGCAACCTTTCTCGGCAAACGCACAACACACCTTCTGGGCACGTCACACAAATATCACTCGCACATTGAGAGTGAAGGCACCAGCGGGTACCCAAGATGCCTACCTTTGATCCCAGCGAATTAAATGTCGTTCTCGCTGTCTTTGGTGCGTGCTCCGGACCTTACATGTTTTGGCTATGACTAATCCGGTGTTCCCACCATATCCAGGCGCGTTCATCATTCTATTTGGTATCATATCCGTCAAGATCAAAAATGTGTGGTACTTAGGCGAGGCCTGTAAGATCAACCTCGAACGTTCTCCGCGCTGTAGTCACCGTAGATACGGAGCGTAATACTTAAGTTCCCAAGGACCATTCACTGACTTGTTGCTCTTGATCAGTGCCGGCCGTAGTGTTGGGCATATGCCTGGGCCCTATAGCTGCTAGGTTCATCGACAGCGAGAGGTGGGGGTCAGCTGTTGAGGGGCAGACCCAAGATATCACTCTTGTAAGTGCTTATAATGTGGCCTCATCACGATCCGGATTCCTTCAATGTGGAGCCTTGCGTTCAGGCACTGATGATTGGCTTGTGTCATAGGGGCTCACAAGAGTGATGATTGGCATTCAGCTGGTCATGGCTGGCTATCAACTCCCAGCAAAGTACCAAAAGACACAATGGAAGGAGATGGCAATCTTAATGTTACCCATTATGACACTGATGTGGTTAGCGACGACAGGCTGCATCCTGGCAACCATTCCCAAGTTGACATTTCTGGGTGCTGGGGTCATCGCTGCCTGCGTGACCTCGACGGATCCAGTCCTGTCACAAGCCGTTGCCAAGGGGCCTTTCGCCGATAAGTTCGTTCGGCGCTCTTTGCGTGAAATCATTTCTTCCGAGAGTGGCGCAAATGACGGCTTCGGCTTCCCCATATTGATGCTGACGACGTACCTCATCCGGCACGCGGAGGGATCTGAAGTGCACGCGGATGGTTTGACATTGCACGCAGTCAGTCGTACGCTTCTTCCGAGAGCCGGTGACGTCGCCCGCCAAGGCGGAGGCGTTGGTGTTGCTCTGCTGAATTGGCTGCTGGAGACATGGCTTTACTTTGTGCTCATGAGTATAGCCTACGGAATCATTATGGGAACTCTGATCAGGATTGCACTGAAGTATTCTGTCAGAAAGTAGGTTGATCGGTCAATGAGCACGAATTCGGTAGTTTCTAACAGAGACACAGAAAGTGGATCGATTCCGAAAGCTACGTCCTGGTGCCCACAGCGATTGGTGTAAGTCACGGACACTAAATGAACTACATAAAAGTTGACTGACAACTCATAGCTCTTCATGATGGGCACTTCAGGAGCCATCGGAACTGACGATTTGCTATCTTGCTTCGTCGCTGGCAGTGCGCTCAACTGGGACGGCGAGTACCTTGCAGAGGCACAGAAGCGGCACGACGAAGTCAACGCCAGCATCGACGTTCTTCTCAACTTTGGCGGCTTCATATATCTCGGGACCATCATCCCATGGAGTGACTTTAGCTCTGACATAACCGGAATCAGTCTCGGCCGACTCTTTGCCCTCGGCGCACTTGTTCTTGTATTCCGTCGCATCCCCGCCATGCTTCTCACGTACAAGCTCATGCCGAACACTATCATAGACTGGAAAGAAGCCTTATTTATGGGCTACTTTGGCCCTATTGGCGTTGGTGCTGCGTTCTATGTCGAGCATGCGCGTCACCTCTTCCCTAAACTTGCTGAGGCCGAGGGCGACAGTGAGGTAGTTGACATGCTTCGGGCTATTGGTCCCGTCGTGTATTGGCTTGCACTCTTCTCGATTATAGTCCACGGAATCTCTATCCCTATCCTCAATGTCATATATGGATTCATGGGCGTTCAACCAGTTCAGGATGATGCCGTGGCAATTCGACGCCGATCTGTTCGCGTCCCTCCTCCATCGAACGCGGTTGAGGGCGACAAGGAGACGTTCATTGCCTTCAACCGTTTCTCTCGGCCTAATTTGTCGCAGGAAACACTGCCGCATATGGGGGATGACGACTCATCTGTGGGAGATCAAAAGGCTTTTCACCCAGACCTCGAGTCCGGCCTCCAGGAAGCTAGGCAAAATGCAGGGTTATCACCACGGAGAAGCTTCAATCTCCCACGCCCGAATGCACCTCGCAGCTTCAGTCTACCCCGGACAAGTTTGAGTCAACTGAAATGGGATCAACCACATGTCACGCAGGGATAGACTGCTTTATCTTGCTGCCTTTGGGACATGCCAGTGTAGAGAATATCGGAGGCAAGAGGCTAAGCGATTCGCGTAGTACCAGATAAGATATGTGGTATTTAAATAGAAATTTCCACCGCCATCGAGAGTGTCTTGAGTGATGCTATACAAGCAACAAACCTACTTAAATACGTTTCGATAACACCTAGAGCATTTTAACCGGGGGCCAAGGTGATTGCCGTCGTGATTCATCTGGAAGACTGGAAAGGCCCGATGTACACATATGAACTGACAATGTTCTGGCCCTTAGTCGAACAGCAGACTGAAATTGTCAGAGACATTGCTCTTGATCATAGGGATACGAATCCCTGCGGCTCCAAACGCCGACATCTAGATGTAATTTAGCTGTGTTATCTCGTCCGGATGTAAGTGGACCATCGGGCCGAGCTGAACGAGTCGAGTATCCGCTGGCCGGCTGAGACCAGGACGACGACAATGATTTGGATGGATCACTTAGATGGTTTGCTCGAAGAATGACGTTCTTCGAGTCGAATGACTATGGAAAATTTCAGGATGAATGCATGTAACGTTCACACATCTGACCCAGACTCGTGATGCCTTGCATCCATCATCAGACCAACCCGCAGGTTACCATCAGACAGGCCGTTCTGTGCATACCTTACCGCTGCTTTTCCCTCATCAACCAGACGATAGACTTCATGGATAAATATTCCCACATCCAGAATAACAGAGATCAGCAAGTACAAGCCTTGAAATGCCGGACGTTGGGGTCGGATTACCAGGGCGTCATGCGGGCAGAAGACGTAATTGATGCGGGGAATCGACGCTACAGGGGACGATCCGGGGCTTTACCCCGCTGGACTTGGCGCATGTCATTCGTTGACAGTGGTTGCGACCCCCTGAGCTCAATCATCTGATGCAATGTTGGGTTTCACAGAAATAACACTCGTCGATGAGCTCTACTTCATACTTGGAAGATACCTGTTACCTTTGAAGCTCATATACCTTTCCTCTCTGGTGCTTTGATAGACGCCACAGACTCATCAGCTTGTCTTTGTCCACGCGCTTGTTCGTAAGAAGCCCTAGACATACTTCCAGAAGCGTCTGTTCGCGTGTACCGAAGCTCGCACTCCTCCCATCCGTCCCTTGATTGGATTTCTAGGCCTTAGCACCCATCCATCATGCGTGGCTTGGCAGTCTTCGCATCGTTAGCCGCAAGGCCAGTCCTCGGGCTCGAGACCACTCGGTTCTCGGCGGCCACCCTGCTGGCTGAATCTGACGCAGATATCCCGAGTGCCAGTGACTGGGCGGAGAGGGCGGAGAAGGAAGGTCGGAGCCTCTGCATACTCGAGCCGGACGCTAACGGCGGGGACGACGCGCCGGCACTGCTGAGCGCGCTCAACGACAAGTGCCGCACCAAGAGCATCATTGTGCTTGATGGACCAGTGTACAACATCAAGTCGCCGATGGTCACCACCAGCCTAGACGATGTTGTAATTGATCAGCGTGGCAGACTACTCTGGAGCAATGACACCACGTACTGGCTCTCGGTCTCGATGCCTGTGGGCTTCCAGAACCAGAGCACGGTATGGCACTTTGGAGGTGATGGCGTGGTTTGGGAAGGTCACGGAGTCGGAACGCTCGACGGCAATGGCCAGGTCTGGTATGACCTCAATGCCGGCGGATCCAACATGCCTCATCGGCCGATGAACATCAACTTTCGAGACTTCTCGAATTCGACTGTCAAAGGTCTCCGATTCGTGCAGAGCCAAATGTGGACGATGAACATCATGTACTCCAAGAATCTCGTGTTCGAGGACATATACGTGAACAGCACTTCGTCTTCGGAGAACAACTCTCTCAACACGGACGGCGCTGACACCATGTACTCGGACAATATCACCTTCCGCCGGTGGGTGGTTGTCAACGGCGACGACGCAATTGCTCTCAAGGCCAACTCCAGCAATATCTACATTTACGACAGCGAGTTCTTCGGCAGCACTGGCATAGCCATGGGATCCATCGGCCAGTTCATCGGGCAATTCGAGTATATCGAGAACTTCTTGGCGCGGAACGTGACTTTACACGACACCCTGCGGGGCTGCTACTTCAAGACGTGGACCGGCATTCAGATTGGGTATCCGCCCAATGGCGGCGGCGGCGGTACGGGATACGCGCGTAACATCGTGCTGGAAGACATTAAGCTCGACGGCACCCGCGGAGAACCACTTTTCATCACTCAATGTGAGTCCTTCTCCGGACACGCGGGTGAGTCCTGCGATACGTCGACGTTCAAGATTTCCGACGTCGTTTGGAAGAACTTTAGCGGAACGATGATGGACGACGTGCCTAGCTCGGGCTTCTTCCGGTGCAGCGCGGCTGCGGGCGGGTGCAACAATCTGACGGTAGAGAACTTTTCAGTAACGCCCGTCGGCCAAGATACTGTCTTGGATAAATGGCTCTGCAAAAACGTTGAAGGCGATGAAGGATTCGACTGTCAGGAAATTGAGGAGACCGCCGATGAGCTCTGAATATCATTTCAGTAGTCGGCGACTATAATGATCCGGCGTATCCGGGACCTTTGGCGGTATAATCATCAAACGTGGCACCCTCGGCGGCATAATGTCGCGGGGGCCATCACCGTTAGCGTTAAACTTGACCGTAATTTTCTAATCAGCGGCCGCTTAGTACGGTATGCTTTAATCTAAGTGGACACAGGCCGTTGCCAAGAGTTTTATCAGAAGGTTGTGGTGATCGCTTTAAAGGGCTAGGAAGTCCGCCGCGGGTCTCTACATGGCTGCCGCGTTCCTGGCAATGAGCCTCGGCCGAAGCCGGGGACTTTGAACTCCGTACGCCGATGTTTTGGTTCCAAATCTCCAACGGCCTCCAACGGCCCAATGGAGGATTGAATCTTCCCGCAAAACACTAAACAGTCCGACGTCCGATGTTCTCGTTCTTGTTCGGGCGCTGGTCTAGCCATGTCTGTGCAGTTCGCCTCCGACCTGCTGGGACTTGTTAGAACATTGGTCTGCAGTTATTCTCCTGAGGCTTCCTCGCAGATTGATCTAGCCTTCACCACGATGCGAGTCTCGAAGCAGTAATTGAAGTGCAGAGGTTGATTATCTAAACGCCCTAACACGCCGGGAATGGTGTTTCTCACATCAGCAGCTCCTTCACCGTCACCTATACTACGTGACGGTACAACAGCCGTCCCGGCACTGGCCTTGTCAGATGCTTGAACGTGGTGTGCTGTGCCAGCTAGCGCCAAGGGTGGCTGCGTATCAAGCTTCTGATCTTAGTTGCCGATCCTGCAGCTTATTCCCAGCGAGTCTTGTTCGTTTATTGACCCTGGTACAGTCGCAAGCTAGCCGTGTCAGAAGGGAGTGTTGACGGGCATGGCAGCTCGAGGCGAAAGCTAGATCATGATGGGCATTGATGGCAAAGCCTGCTTCTTTTAAGTGTTGGTAGCGGGGAGTTAGCGGGAGCGGAAGTTTTTCTCCTATTCTGGTTCTTCCTGAACGCTCGGACGCGTCTTTGAGCTGAGGTTGATGTGGGCAGTGGAAACATCAAAACATGCGGCAAGCTGCATGCTTCCGTGCGAACCTCCTATTCTTGGAAGAGCTTTAAATCAAGTCTTCAAGGCATGACTCGACCGCGGTAAGATTTACGAAACATCGATTGAGTTCGTATCTCGATCATGACAGTTCCATGGCTCTCCTAAAGCGTTCCCAGTCCCACGCAGATTCGAACACTTGGCGAAAGGACCGGGTCCACAATCCCGCGCAAAGCATTCGCAATTAGATGGAGCCAGGAGAAGGGCGCTCTGTTGATTTCCATACTCTAAATTTGATGGCAAGACTTTGTCTCGGAGACGACTTGGCGCCCGAATTCTACCCCCTGACGCTGATTCCGGTTGTTCCGGCTGCCGAGAAAAACCACGGGAAGTGAACCCCGTCATCCACGACTCCCAAGTTTCCTTATGTGCAAGCAAGTGGGTAGAGTCCGACTCGAAATGATTGGATGATCCACCAGAAAAGGAACTCCCACATCCCTTTTTTCGACGTTCTTCCCACCGTCAGTCCATAATTGGATTACAGTGATTCAGCGTGGAGACCGGGCGACTGCGAGCAAGGAGGCTCTAATGAAAACTGGGTTTTTTGGCTTACGATTTACTGTACGTTGCCGGGCGCAATCACACACGCGTCAAGGAGGGCTTGGGTCGCGTGCCCTCCTTCCTGCGCCGAGCCATTCTTTTGCCTGTGCTTGGCTGGAGTGATACCGTAATGGATCATGGATGGATGGTGGACATGTGGGATGGGGTGTGGGACGTCAGGTCGTCGTGTCTCCAGTCCCGCTCCGCCCTCCCTCCTTCAACGTTCAACGCCCCCAACTCTCCTATCAGATGGTTCCGTGCGGTTACGCCCACACGTGTGGTCCTATTCCTGCTCAATTTTCAAGGCTGGGCGGAATTCCCAATGCCTGGGGCGCCGATCTGACAACAATGCTTGGCCACGAAATGCTGCGGTTGGACTTGGTACACCTTCCGCCCGTTGTGGGTTTGTCCCGGTGAAGCGGACTCTGGGGCATTGTGCCTAGATTGTTTATTAGTCTTGTCGTCCCTCTCTCCTATTTCTCCATGCGAAAGGGTTTCTGGTGGATTTGGCATTTTCATTGTAATATCTTCTCGTCACTCACTCCTTTCTTCTCTGCTTTGGGGAAGCGAAAGCTATTCATTCATTCTGCTTGCTCGTCAGGACAGCCTTGTCCAACTACATCTTTCACTTACTCAATACCAAACAAGAGTTCAATTTTCTGTGTTTAGCCTATTATGGCTTCGTCACTTGGCGCTTTGAGGAATGTGGCCGAACCAGCTTGTAAGTCCATCCCGCTCCACTGGCTCGGATTTCTTCCTATAGTATACTTAGACCATATGTCTTTACCTCTACGAGTCCAGGCCTCATCTGACGTCCTTTGCTCTTCTAGTCATCGTTTTTGCCTTC